GCTTGTCAACCACAGCAAATGATAACTGAATGAGTAATTATGCACAGCGCCCTCTCTCTCTCTGCTTCCCTCCCTCCCTCTCTCTGTCTGTCTCGATTTAAATATAGAACAGCAGCAAGGCCTAAAAATATTTAACAGCTGCCTTGGTTATTCATTTGTCACAAGATAAATTGCTTTTCCAATGTCCTGCCGGCATAGCGAAGCTGTCGCCCAATGAACCCGTGATATATGGAAGCTGTGAACTAAGTAGAAGAAGAAGCAGAAGAGATAATGTGGCAAGCTGAAGGCTTATTGACCTTATTGACAATCGAAAACGATTTCTATATGTTCTATATATTCTAAATATATATATTTCAACTGATGACTCATTTTTAGTTCTAGTTCCATTTGATGAGTACGTTCAATTTGATGAACTCGTTCAATTTGTTAATCTGCCTCAATTTAATTAAAAAGCTAAGCCACGTGTTCATCCATTCAGAAATTGCAATGTCCCGAGGTTCGGTCACACCCAGAGCCAAAGCCAGCGGTAGAGGTAGAGCTAGTTCCATTTGCTGGTTTTTGCGGTTCAGTCATTCAATCATTTACATGACAGCAAACAATGCGCGAGTCCAGCACACACACGCACACAAATTACGTGTGTGTGTGTGTGTGTGTGTGTGTGTGTGTGTGTGTGTGTGTGTGTGTGTGTGTGTGTGTGTGTGTGTGGCTGTGGCATGCATTGGAGTCTGCGAAGGGGGCTTAAGGGCTTTGACCGCAACAGAGTGCAACTTGTCACATTCAGATCATTGGTGAATTTTTCGGGTTGCGCATCGATTGATTGCAATTAGTGAAGTTAATCATACGCACCGTTGTACAATGGCAACAATTATCTTTAACCACTAATTGACGAACGTTAAATGAGCGACAAAATATGAAATGGAACGCATTGCTCCCAGCTGCTGACAGCCACCGCAAATGAACCTAACTCGATAATCAGGCAATCAGGGTCTATCAGCGAGCTGAGCTGAGCTGAGCGAAAGGACGAAGAACGAAGCACACAGACTGCGTGTGCCCAAGGCCCGGACCTAGCCCTGGCCCTGGCCCTGGCCCCGGCCCGGCCCCAGCCCTGGTCATGGCACTGGCCCTGACTATGTTTATTGTCCATTTCTTGGTTAGTAGACAATAATCGTTTTGTATACCCTGCACACATTGCTGAATGCTTAGGGATCGGGTATATTACTGTCGACTGCAAATGCCAGCAACTGGCAGATGGAGAAGGCGTAGGCAAGTCTTATTCTGTCTGAATGGATCTCGATCATACACACTTTACTCCAATCATCCTTCCTTACAGTTCAAGAATGGACTCAACCTTCGGGTTGTGTATCAGCTAGTCGAGCATTGTCCCTTGTTGTTGCTATGTCTACGCTCGAGGTAAGAATAATAGAATTTTGTATTAAATTGCATTGGCGCACACACATATATATATACATATATATATATATATATATATATATATATATACATATATATATGTAGACAGAGCGAGCGAAAGACGGACCTTTGCCTTTCGTCATTAACATGAATGGCTAAGATAATGGCCTAGAAAGTGTGATATTCGTATATAATGCGGAATATACTAGATATTAACCCATTGTTGCCACAGCATTTGAATGGAGAAACATATGAAAAACTTAGTTAAAGTTGCTTGTGGAGCTTAATAGAAGTACTCAGTTTCAGACTTGCTTAGAAATGGAAAAAGAGAGATATATAGAGAGATATAGATTTTCCAGATATACAACACTTGACTTGATTTGAAATTGTATATATATTGTAGATATATGAACTAGCTTATTGTTTAACAAGTTCAACTTGATTACTAATTCAATTTGACGAACTAGTTCAATAGATGAAGTTTAATTCAAGTTCAAGTTGATGAACAAGTAGAATCAGATTAACTCGTTTAATCAAATGAACTAATTCAATATGATGAGCTAGTTCAATTTGTTGAATAAAACTATGCAAAGAGCATCGCATGGAACATTTCATTCAGTCTGTTTATACATATATAAATAAATATATATGGGATTTGCCCATTTGGAGACGACTGTAATCGCAGTTTCACTATATCTTTTAATCATTGCAAAACTTTGACTTTGATTTAACTGCGATGGAGCAAGGGCTGAACAAGCATGAAAGTGCTTCTAGATATATGTGTATATATATATATATATATATATATATATATGTGTGTGTGGGTGGGTGCGTGTGGCGTATGCATGAATCTGTGCGTTTTCTTGTATATTTAAGCATCGAAAATTGAGTCTTGTTCTGGCCCTTTGACAAGCAGCAAAACTGATTGGCTATGCCGCAGCTGCGGGCAATATATATGTATAACTAAATATACTCGTATATAGATATATAAAATACACTTTATATATATCAAGCGTTTGCTTTCAATCTAAGCTGTGTCTCTGCATAAATTGATAAAAAATAAAATGAGAACTCGACGGCAATGCAAACAGACCAAAAAATTTAACATGATGTTTAATGTTTATTGCGGGCTGGCAGCTAGAGCAGTGGGCGTGGTACAGTGGCTGGCTGGAAGGTTTGATGTGAGGGTATCCTGAGTCTCAGGCTGAGTTTGAGCTCTGTGTCTGTGGGCACGCAAATTACAACACATAACAAATGTCTGAACGACTGATTGCCAAACATGTCGACAATACAAGTCTCTCTGTGTGCTCTCTCTCTCTCTCGCTCTCTCTGTGCGTGTGTGTGTGTATGTCAGTTGGGAATTTATAATGGTTTTCTATTCTAAAATAAACCCCCCTCCCACACACTCGCAGTCATACACACACGCATTGCTAACAATAGAAGCACATAGAAGCGAAACGGCCTGATTTGAATTTTAGTTCCAATTTCCAATTTCCAGCAGACTCCAGTTCCAGTTCCAGTTCCAGCCACGGCCACAGCCACAGCCCTATCATTGTTGTTTAGGTGCTGGCACTTTACGTTTTTGCATTGATTGCTTATATCTTGTTTGTTGGCTCCACAGCCCCAATTCGAACCCAAATCAAATCTCAGTTGCCAACAGCTTCTCCTGCTTCTTCTGCTGCTTCGTCTTTTTCTACGAATTTCCATTTGAAAAGAAAATTGTGCAATAATTTGTATGGGAAATTGAATTTCAGTTTTGAGTGCGGGGGCGTGGCAATGCCTTTTGTGATTGCCACGCTGAGTCGCTTCGATTGTTGCCCTGACTTGACTTGACCAGCCAGAGGAAAATATAGACCAGGTTTCTCTACAACAATGAGCATTCGCATAGTACACTGCGCGAAATTGCAATTACAATTTTGCATCCTTTTAGAGCAATCAAGTGACAAAATTCCCATTTCGAAATTAAAGAATTAAGTAAAAATTCAAAGGAATTTCCACTGTACACTGAGAGAAATTACTTGAGAGATAGACATCGTGTGCAGTGCTGATATTTTGGGTCTATTTTAATTTCAGATTTCCTTGTAGCAAAGTCCAAGTGTGGAATGTGGAGCTTGATGTGCGACTATTCAAATATGGACTTAATAGTAATGGCTTGCTGTAATTTTATAAACATGTAGATGTTTCTGTATGTATGCTAGGTTTATATATAGCTTACATCTTTTAGTAACTTTGTTTATGACAGACATGACATCCACTTTATAACTTTACTCTACTTTGCTTCAGACGGACTTTTCTTTCGTTTCAGATGTTAAATTGCTGGACAAGAGAAAAGGTGAAGCATTGGGACAGGTAAGAGGGGTGAGATGGAAGGCAATGCAGGACAGGTACAAGTGCAGCCTTGTTCAACTGAATGCAACACTTTCTGATTGTGTTTGCTCGACCGGCTGCTACCCTGCGTTAGTCTACACCAAAGCAGTCACATTACCATTAAATGAACTAGTTCATTTTAAGTATGAAGGAGTAGATTGCGTTTTGGACGCGACTCTGGTCATAGCCTAGTCTCTGCCCCAACTAGTCTAGCGACGGTATACCCTCTGCTCTTTAAAAATTTTCAATGGGTATAGTAGAGCGCCTGAGCGCCCAAGTAGTTCAAGATGAATCTTAATTAAAACTGTGACGTGTGGCCGCATTATAAGGGCTAAACCCTTGCCCCCTTATTCAAGGCGCATATTTTTTGTTGCCCCAGTGAAGCTCCAAAGCACTTTAAGCAAATCCAACATTCAGATTTAGATATAGATCTGGATATATATATGAATTGCTACATGTATGGATCTAGATCAATTTGATAAACAAGAACAATGGTTCATTTTAAGTTACTCATTAGAAACTTTCGTTTACGAACGACTGAAAGCATATTACTCACTGTCCAATGAAGGAGTTCACGGAATCATTGAATAAGTTTGCTGAAATAAAGCTTATTGAACTAGTTCAGTGAACTGCTGAATTTATGCATTGCATTAGTTCTCTAAATCAGTTCACTGAAAGAGTTACCAGAATTGGTTCACTAAGCTAACTGGCTGAGTAAGTTGATTTAATAAGTAGAATAACGAACTAGTTATTGAAACTAAGTCACTGAATAAGTTCATAGCTAAAGTTTACCAGATCACTGATCATTGAACCAGCTGAGTTCCCTAAGTGTAATGCAAGTTATTTTGAATATTTTGAATTTAATAGTTAATTGAACTAGTTCAAGAATATACATATTTGTATTTGTAATAGTTCACTGAGCTAGTTCAATGATCCGTTATAGATTAGATAACTTTTCTAAGTTATATATCTTATAGTTCAGTGAGCTAGTTCGCTGTTCCGTTCAGTTGTACCAATTCTTAATGACATGAGAAAACTTCTCATCTAGGTTATATTGTATCTAGGAACATAGTTCACCAACCAGTTTACTAACCAGTTCAATTGAACTCATTCGAAAAGACTTAAGATAATTCGTCTTATATACGTTTTTGTTCACTTGAACTCGTTCCTTAGGATGTGAATTCTTCTTTGTAATATTGTATATGCGTTCAAAGTTCACTTACCAGTTGGACTCGGCGTCAGGGACATCATATCGAAATGTATGTTCTTCTGCTCGAAGGAGTAGTCCTTGAGGAAAGTGAGCTTGGCGCCACGCGTCTTCGTTAGCCCGGTTACCGCATTGTTGATGCTGCGCAAATATTCGCGCTTACCGAAATTCGTATGCGGCGCAATCAGACCGATGTTCAGCTGCTCCTTGTTGGCGCCGACACCTTTGCTCAGGCTGTTGCCGCCGTTGGTTAGCCGCAAGGCATTGATGCCGGGGCAAGCACAGATCATGATTAACAGTGGCAATGCCAGCAACATCTTTGTCGATTTACAGAACGACTTGCTGTTGCTGGCGCGTGCTGCTGCTGTGCAGCTACTTATATTGCTATTGTGTTTGCTATTGCTGTTGGCAGTGTTGCAGTTGCTGTTGTTGTTGTTGTTGTTGTTGTTGTTGGTTATATCAATTGATGCATTGATATGAGCATTGACAGCAATTGTTGTTGCTGTTGCTGTTCTTGTTATTGTTGCAATGAAACTCTTTTTGCTCTCCGTTGTTGCGGTTGTTGTTACTACTTCTGTTGCTGTTACTGCTGTGCCTGGTCTACATTTCAGCTTGACTTTTGTTCTTCTGCTGCCACGCATCAGCTGCCTTTTTCTACAGTTAAGCTGCGTATTATTATTGTTGTTGTTGCTGCTGCTGTGGCTGTGGCTTTGGCTGTTGCTGTTGCTGTTCCTGTCGTGTTGCTGCTGCACAGCATGTTGCCGTAATTCGACCATTACCTGCACAATATGCTTGCTGCAATTGTCCGGTTTTCTTGCCTCAATTACTCTCGTTTGCTGTTGCTGCTGTCGATTTTCCTTCTCTTTTTTCGTATTGCTGCCGTTGTTGCTGTTGCTTAATTTTCTTTTATGTTGCTGCTCATTTTCTCACACTCTTTTTCTCCAGCTTTCTCTCTACATGTATTTATATAGCTTTGTTTATTTGTTGTTGGATGGATTGGGTTCATAAACAGTTGTATATCATCTTTAGCTAAGTGAAAAATTTGCTATTGTTGCTGCTGTTGCTGTTGCTGCTGCTGCTGCTGCTTCAGCTGTTGTTGCTTGGCTTAAATTATGATCTCTATTGTGCATTGCTAATTTTAAGCACGCAGCCAGTGAAAGTCATTTCCTCTACACACACACACTCTCACACACACACCTACACATGTTTGCATAAAGTTGCTGCTGGGCAACAGCAACGCCATCGCCCACAGCGGCAACAACAGCTGTGTAACGACTTGACGCTTTCCGTTTCCGTTACCTAATTTGTTGCTTGTTGTTTGAATGGCAACATCAACATGAACAATTGAGGGCTGCAGCTGTTGCTGCTGCTGTTGGTGTTGTTGCTGGTGCTGGTGTTGCTGTTGCTGGCAGCAATGGTTGGCTCGCTGTACACAGGATGTGAAGTGTATGTATTTATGGGCGCACAGGTGGCAATCGCTGTTGCTGCTGTTGTTGTCCACAGATTAGCTCAGGCAAAATGAGCTCAGGGTTTAATTTAATTTAAAGCTGTTTCGCATTGGAAATTAATGCAACCTAATAGCAATGTGATATACGCACAGCAGCATCCCTACATGCACATCACACCAACACACTCGCAATCCCACACATAGCGATTGTTGTTATAATTAGTTGCTTTGACTTTGAAAAAGTTTGCATCAGTCCAACTGACCTCATTGCTGTCCCTCATTTCCATGCCCCAACAACAACAGCAAGCAATAAGAAACTAAAGCAGGGCCTGACACAATTCTAGTTAAGGGGCGTGGCAATTTCTGTCTGTCAATTTGTTTGAGATTTGTATTGTCACGATGGCTGCTTATTCCTCTTGCTATCAATATTCATTACAATTACTATTAGATTTATTATCATGAGGCATCATGATGATAATGCACATTGTTCTTATAATTGATTTTATATTTCGATTCATTATTGATATTATTATCATTAGTCATAATAATAATTATAATTAGTCATGATCACTTTCATTAGCCATAAGTATGATAGTATGATAGTACTATAATACTATAATAATATCGTTAGACATTAGCATTATCATTAGTCATCATCTATATTTAATTTCATTATCAATATTAATCAATATTATTATCATTAGTCATCATCATTAGCATTAGTCATTATAATTAGCCATTCTCATTATCATTATCATTATCATTATCATTATCATTATCATTATCATTATCATTATCATTATCATTATCATTATCATTATCATTATCATTATCATTATCATTATCATTATCATTATCATTATCATTATCATTATCATTATCATTATCATTATCATTATCATTATCATTATCATTATCATTATCATTATCATTATCATTATCATTATCATTATCATTATCATTATCATTATCATTATCATTATCATTATCATTATCATTATCATTATCATTATCATTATCATTATCATTATCATTATCATTATCATTATCATTATCATTATCATTATCATTATCATTATCATTATCATTATCATTATCATTATCATATCATTATCATTATCATTATCATTATCATTATCATTATCATTATCATTATCATTATCATTATCATTATCATTATCATTATCATTATCATTATCATAATCATTATCATTATCATTATCATTATCATTATCATTATCATTATAATTATCATTTTTATTTTCATTTTCATTATCATTATCATTATTATTATTTTATATCACTATTATTATTATTATTATTCTCCCAACTTCCATTGATGTTACTACTCGAAATATTGCTAAGTAGTAAAAGTTATTTATCTTTTGGCTTGGGCGTCGCCGCCGCTGCTGGTGCTGGTGCTGCTTGGGTTTGGGGCTTGTGTTGGGTGGGGCTAGGGCTTGGGCTTGGGTTTGGCTGCTCTACGAAAGTTTTTCTACGTCAGCGTTTTAGTCGGCCTCGTTCGCGCTGCTTTTGTTGGCGCTCGTATTTGTTCGGTTTGCAGTCTGAAGCTGAGGGCGTAACTGCGTTGCCACTGAATCTGCGATGCTGGCCGACTGACACTGGAGCCTTTTTTCTGCCAACACCCCGGGCACCGCACCCAACCCCACTCCGCCCTCGCCACCAATTTGTTGGGCGTCATGTTGGGTGACTGGCGTTGCCTTAAACTGTGTTTTTTGCCACTTAGTCGCTGTCAATAAGCAGCCAAAACTTATGCATATGTGTGAGTGTGTGTGTGTGTGTGTATGTGTGTGTGAGGGAGTGTTGGTGAATGCTTTGTTGTTGACCCAATGCTGCTGCGGACAAAGCAGTGATTACTTTTGCGGGCTGGCTGCTAGGTTGTTCGGTTGTTTGGTTGTTCGGCTTAAGCCGCAACAACAGCTGCATTACAGTCAAAGACATAGAAGGTCATAGCTAACCAATAGACGCACACACCACATGCACACACACATACACACATACACCCATAGACTTAGTCATAAAATACGTTGTCTTTTCTTCGCCTATATCTTATTTTGTTGCTGTTGTCTATGACTATTCGAGCGTCTGAGCCTATGTTACAGTCACACATACACAACGAGACACACACCCAGACGCACATACACGCACACACACACCATGTATGTATTTTATATAGATATACTCATCTATATGTGAGCTCGTGACAAGGCAGCAATAAATTGTGTCTTATGAAAAGCAAATAAAAACGCCGCCAGGCTCCTAGGTTGCCTGTCTTTAGGCATTCCACTAGCTGCCTTTTGCTATGCGGCATGTGGCATGTTGTGCATACGCAACATTGAACGCTCAACTATATGTCTTACATACATGGTTACATATGTACAGAGTACCTGCCCGCTACCAGCTAACTTCTCCCAACTCTCGCCTATCAGTCGATTGCCTTTACGTAGTTTTGAATGTTCCGTCTAATCGGACGTGGAATGAATTTGGATACAGTGAAGACATTGTGGTATAGATATGTAGGGATCTGCTGGGCTATTAGTGTTATAATTATTATCATTATCATTATCATTATCATTATCATTATCATTATCATTATCATTATCATTATCATTATCATTATCATTATCATTATCATTATCATTATCATTATCATTATCATTATCATTATCATTATCATTATCATTATCATTATCATTAACATTATCATTATCATTATCATTATCATTATCATTATCATTATCATTATCATTATCATTATCATTATCATTATCATTATCATTATCATTATCATTATCATTATCATTATTATTATCATTAGTAATCATAATCATTACTATCATTAGTGATCTTCATTATCATACTAATTATATTAGTAATCATAATCATTACTGTCGTTAGTGATCATCAATAACGTCATAATTAATCATCATCGTTATCATTATCATTATCATCAGTCATCAGAATTAGTCATAATCATTGTAATTTTCATTAATTACAATAGTCATAATCATTATAATTTAAATAGTGAATAGTTATTCATGATAAGCTGATGTTGTGCAACTCTATGAATCCATAAATATCTACACGAGGTATTGCCATAGTCAAGTATACTCGTTCGCTAGTCTATGTTGCAATGGCATTATCATCATCAACTGTCCTTTGACGTTGCTTTCGTTGTCAATTTTATGACTTTTACTATGGCCCCTCATATGACACACACACACACAACCTTATACACACATGCTAAAAAAACATAAGGGCTTAGCGCGCCTTTTGGCTGTGTGACAGTTTTTCTGTTTTACTTTTTGCTTGTTTTCTATTTAGTTGATGCAGACACTGCCACGCCCACACGCCCACGCCGACAGTAGGCAAAGGTCGGTGCAATTTAGTTTGCTGCTCTTGTTGTTGTTATTGTTGTAATGTGTTTGCCTATTTCATGCGCTCTGCTGGTCTTGTGATGTGGGCCAACTTTTGCTTTCAATTTACCTCACTCTTCTCCCAATTACTCTCTACCGCTCTCGCTCTGTCTTCCTCTCTGTCACGCGCACACACACACACTGTCCTTCACCTTCTTCTGCTAGTCGTAAATCGACAGTGCGTCGACCGCTGTCAACGTGCGTCTTGTTGCGAATATTTCGCTTATTGTTGCTGTTACCGTTATTGTGTTCCGCTATTCCGTTTTTGTTGTTGCTGCTTATTAGGTTTTTCTTATGTTACTGTTGTTGTTGTTGTTGTTGTCGTCGTTGCTTTGCTAGACGTGTCAAAAGCCAGCGCAAAGAAAGACACAAAAAAGAAGATGAGGAGCAGCCAAACAAAACAAAAACAAAAACTCTGGCAGCCAAGAAAAATTGGGGCGTGTTATCTTTTTGACGTTGATGATGCGCAGCAGCAGCAACAACAACAACAAATGGAATGTTAAAGGAGCAGCTGTGTAGTTGTTCATTTTACACACACACATATAAACGCACACATGCATACACACACACCAAATTAATTTATTTGATAAACCATATAGAACTCTGTGTTTTTCTATTTGATTTGCTTTGTGTACATGTGTGCGTGTTTGTGTTTGTGTGTGCAGCAGTAATAATAATGGAGGCGTGGTTGCTGCTGCTGCCTTTCAAAAAGGGGGCTCGCGCCTGTCTTCGGCATCTACTTAGCATTGAACTTTGATCTACCGTTATTTATTTTTGTTTTCTTTTTAAGCACATTTTGAGTTACACTTGAAAAAAAAGTAGTGAAGAAAAAAAATATTGAGAACTTGTAACACTGTTTCTATTATTATATTTTTTTATTATTTGATTGCCTACTTTCAGGCGGCACTTGATTAAGCAAACTTGGGCAAAGGCAATGGGCTGAACTAAGTGATGGGCTCCTGGCTTCGGGCGTTCAAACAAATTTAATTTTATTCAACAGAAACAAAAACAAAAAAATACAAAATGTAGTGCAGTGCTGCGGCTGCAGTTGTCATGCACTTTTGATCACTGTGCAACCATTGTTTGTGCCACACAGCCTGTGTACGAAAGCGTAGGCAAGGAGAGAGGGAAATAGGCAGCAGCAGAGGTTGGTTAGGTAGCGAGTAAAGAGAAACACAGGAGCAGCAGCAGCAGCGACAGCGGCAGCGGCAGCGGCAGCAGAAAATGAAACAAGAAACAAGTCCACACCCAAAAATTCAAAGACACGCACAACGTCGACGCCGACGGTGGCGCACACACAGAGACACACACACACGTTAATATGTATTTATTTTAGCGAGCTGAATTTTGTGGCCTGGATTTGCGCTAACTGTTATTTTTTTGACATTGTTTTTGCTCATTTCTTTATTGTCAATTGGTTTTTTGGCCAGATCGCAAGGGGGATATATATTCATTTGGTTTTTTGCTTTTTCGCTTACATTCACTGTTAGTGTTTACAATTAACTGCTCCTCGGTTAGATCAGTCAGACCGCCAGCTACGCTACGCTACGTGCCCAGTCGCTTAACGGTTAACGTTTGATTTTGAAATGTTGGGGTTTCGCTTAGAGTGGGGGCTGGGTCTGGGTCTATGTCTGGGCTGCCCTTAACCTCGTCGCGCGTTTATGAGCCCCACCGCTGACGAAATGCGACGCTGCCAATGCGGACTGAATGCGACGAGCAACGAAGTGGCACTGCCAACCCGGGACACAAGCATAGCCTTAACTACCAGCAGCAGCATCAGCATCACCAGCAGCAGCAGCGGCAGCCGCAGCGACAGGCTCTGAGCGAAATGGATGCTGATTACGAAATTTACAAAAACTTTACACACACATACACTTACGCTCTCGCTACAGCCCACTGTCGCATGCCCTGCACTCGGCTGCCCTACTCTCTCGTTCGTCAATGTCAAAGGAGCGCGCAGGCTTACGTTTACACAGCCCCACCAAAAAAAAAAACGCCCTCTATATTGCGTATATGTGCGTTGAAGTCTCTCTCCACGTGCCAAACCCATTTTGCCTACTCTCGCCCTCTCTCTCTTTCGTTTACTGTCTCTACGCTCCTCATCCGTCGCGCTTTCTAAGTAACAAGGGCTGCCATCTGGTTGAAGTTTTGAATTGCTAAATATTGCACATGTTATGTATGTTCCATTTTGTAAAAGTATGGCAACGCTAGCGATGCGACTAAGCATTTCCAATTGATAAGCGTAAGAGTGAAAGAGTGAGGAAGAGAGCTAGAGAGATCTTTCAAACTGCGCAAGTCAGAATAAACAACAACGACTGCGTCAGTAGCATGAACCGTTAGCACACGCTGAGGTCAGAGCTCGGCCGTACAAGCTTCGGTTTCAGTGTTCGCTGTTCGGCTTCGGCTTCGGCATCGGCTTCGGCTGCGGCTGGGGCTCGCTTTAGCGTCGATTCGTCAATTCGTCTTTG